ATCTTCCATGACGCTAGCTCTTCAGAGCGGGAGCCTACGGTTCAAATGACGAAGTGAGGGGAGTACCTGTAAACTCAGCTCTATATAGCGGTGGGTCGGGAAACTACTGGATGAAGAAGCTGCCTCCTCGGTCAATCCGTACGCAAGGCAGCTACGAGATCTGAAGCGAATCGTCAAGCAGAGGGCAAAATCCATCGGCACAGTCCGTCTTCAACGTGCTGGTGCAGCACACCCCGTCAAAAAAGTTCGAGCCGTACTTCATGCAATAGAGCTGGATGGCTCTCCCCTTGCACCGGTGTAGTCCAGACATTGCTCTTTCTGACTGCTAGTCGCCCCGTATTCAACCGTTATACAGCCGAGAAAACCTCCACGACTTGAGCCCAAGTCAAAGTTGAGATGATGTCCAACTTTGCGTCGCGCCGGCGTGCATTGTTAAGCGATGGCATCCACGAACTGTCCAAAAACTGGCAAGGATCTCTCAATAACATTGCTGTATAATTTTGATCTTGTACGCCTCTCTGTAAAAAGAAAGTCTAATTTGAAAAAATGTGACAGAACTTTCCCGCCAACCTAATGGGTAGGTCAGTAGTGTGCATGGTACTGAAGCATCACCCGAATTGTCACACTTGCGGCTGACTTTTCGGGTTTTTCGCTCGCTTAAACGCCTCTCTCAGTAGCCGATTAACCTACGTTGGCCCGTGCAAATCTGCAACCATTGGAAAGTTGACCTATCGGACTAATCAGTCTAGGACGTGCTGGTGTAGTTGTTTCTTAGGCGGCTGAGCCAGCGAAGCCAACCTCGCCTTGTTGATCAGTCAGCGTGGATAGAATCCCCCTCACACCATGAGTTGGGAGTGCATCCAGAAGCTATTAGGTTGTCCGGAAAGTTCTGCAGGTTTTGAGTGTTTAACTTTAAACGATCATAACTTTCTTAACACTCATCGGATTTAATCCAAATAAGCACCATTCGAATCAGCACACTTTTGCCAATGTGACAGCAGTCGAGAAATCCCATCAAAGAAAAAACTGGGTGGTCGAGAATCCACGAAATCTACGAAGGTCTTTTTTGCCTGGTCCTAATTGATGAAGTATTTTTCAGCAAGGAAGTTCTGAAAATGTTTGAAAAGGTGATAGTCGGTTGGTGAAAGGTCTGGAGAATATGGTGGGTGAGGTAGAACTTCAACTCCCAATTCGTTCAATTTATGG